AAGCCAGATTAGTTGCTAGAGGTTTTGAACAGATATATGGAGAAAATTTTAATGAGATATTTAGCCCCACAGTATCTGGTGAAGCACTAAAAATAACCCTTGCAATTGCCAGTAATAGAAATTTAAAAGTCAAACATTTTGATGTGAATACTGCATACCTTCATGCAGATTTAGAGGAAAAAGTTTATATTTCTGCTATTCCAGGTTTTGAATCTGATCTTCCTGATGGGACTTATCTTCTTAAAAAAAGTCTTTATGGTCTCAAACAAAGTGCAAGAAATTGGAACTTACATTTAGACAAAGTGTTGACAAAGTTAAATTTTGTTGCAAATAGTTTTGATCCTTGTTTGTACTCAAAAGGAAGTGGAGATACACAAATGTTTATTATAATTTATGTGGATGATGTGTTATGTATTGGATCTGAAGAACAAATTGAGGAAGTTTTTCAGAATTTAAGCAAAGTATTAAAAATCAAAAATCTTGGAGATGTTAATAGATATCTTGGCATAAATATTGCTAGAAATGAAACTGGTTTTGAATTAAACCAAACTGATAAGATTTATGATCTTTTGAAAAGAACCAGAATGGAAAATGCAAACACTGTTAATACTCCTATGGCTCTTCAGTTCTTACAACATGTAGATGGAGAAGTGTTTGATAACAATTTTATTTATCGTTCAGTTCTTGGTTCTTTATTGTATATTGCAAACAATACTAGGCCCGACATTTCGTTTTCTGTTGGTATCCTAAGTCAAAGGATTCAAAATCCTTCACAAACAGACTGGGCCGGAGTAAAAAGAGTTTTAAGATATTTAAAGCAAACAGCTGAAAAAATATTCAGAATTTGCCCAAATGACAAACAGTCTTTGGAAATCCATTGCGATAGTTCATTCGCTAATTTAAAAGGAAATAAATCTGTCACAGGATTTATAATAAAATATGCCAATACACCAGTTTGCTGGAAAAGTAGAAAACAAAACTTAGTTGCTTTAAGCACAGGAGAAGCTGAGTTTTCAGCATTATCTGATGCCTTGACATCAGTAGAGTGGATTGAATCTCTAATTAAAAATATGAACATTGATTTGGAATTACCAATACAGGTGTATGTAGATTCTCAAACTTGCATCGCATTGTGTAAGAGTCAAAATTTAAAAACGAAATCTAGATATATCAATGTTAGATATTCTAACGTGCAACAATTTGTAAAGAACAAAAGAATTGTTCTTAACTATGTGTCTTCTGTTGAAAATGTTGCAGATATTTTGACGAAGCCTCTTACATGTGATAAACATAACCAATTTTGTGAAAGACTGAATTTATGATTATATAAATATGAACTGATATAATTTTGTGGAGGAGTGTCAGGAGAACTGTAAAAATGTGCAAAATTTTATCTGTTCATTGTATGTATTTGGGTTATGTATGTATAAGTAAGTTTGTATCTTTAATTGCTGAAATGCTTGTGATGTGGTTTTGGTTAATTGGGTGCAGGTGGATCTAATTACTGTGGTTATAATGTGTTGCATCTGCCTGCAGCCAGCAGCAGCCTTCAGCAGCTTTCAGCGTCCCTCAGCGTTCTGCTATTGCTATAGCCTTGAGCTTTTGGAGAAGCTATGGCGTTTTGGAGTTTGGGACTCTAAATGTTTTGTTTAGGGTCTGATATCTGATGCAAGATGTTTGTTTTCTTACTTTTGATGTTTTCCACTATGAATTTATAATAAAGAAAGACTCTGCTAACAGAAACCTCTTGGGTGCCATGAGGAAGGTCGTACACTCTCAGCCTCAAAGGGAGGCAAATCCGGGCAGGAAAACCCTGCGATAGGGTCAACAGATACCAGAAATTAAAAGGAGATTTTATCTGGATTGCTTGCAAGATCATCTTTCTACAAAAAAGTATGTACAGTGTTCCCTTGCTACTTCACGGTTCACTTACTGCGGACTCGCTGTTTCGCGGAGAGCAGTGAGGGAACACTGTATAGCTGCTCCCCGTTCCTTCCTTGTCAGGCTGAGGCCCAAGGGGTCTCCGAGGTGGGGAGCAGTAGAGGTGGCGAGGAGGAGGAGGCCACCACCGAGTGGGTAGAGTGTCCCTACCCCACCTTGGAGGCTCCTTGGTTGCCCATCTTGGCAAGGAAGGGACCTCTGAGATGGGGAGCAACAGAGGTGGCGAGGAGGAGGAGGCTACCGCCAAATGGGCAGAGTGTCCCTACCCCACCTCGGAGGCCCCTTGGGTGCCCAGCCTGGTGATGAAGGAAACTCCAAGATAGGTAGCAGCGGAGGTGGCGAGGAGGAGAAGGTTGCCACCACCGAAGAGGGCCTCGGTGGCAGTGTCCTCCTCCTCACTGCCTCCACTACTCCTTGTTCCTTTCTCGCCAGACTGGGCACCAGGCTTGAGCTCCCATCCTGGTGAGGAAGGGACCTCTGAGTTGGGGAGCAGCAGAAGCTGCAAGGAGGAGGAGGCCACTGCCACCTAAGAGGGCCTCAGCAGCGGTGTCCTCCTCCTCACTGCCTCGCTGCTCCCTGTTCCTTCCTCGCCAGGCTGAGTGCCTAAGGGGCTCCGAGGCAGGGAGCAGTAGAGGTGGCAAGGAGGAGGAGGCCACTGCCGAGTGGGCAGAGTGTCCCTACCCTGCCTCGGAGGCCCCTTGGGTGCCCAGCCTGGCAAGGAAGGGACCTCTGAGATGGGGAGCAGCGGAGGTGGCGAGGAGGAGGAGGCCACCACCACCGAAGAAGGTCTCGGCAGTTGTGTCCTCCTCCTCACTGCCTCCACTGCTCCCTGTTCCTTCCTCGCCAGACTGGGCACCAGGCTTGGGCTCCCATCCTGGTGAGGAAGGGACCTCTGAGTTGGGGAGCAGCAGAAGCTGCAAGGAGGAGGAGGCCACTGCCACCTAAGAGGGCCTCAGCAGCGGTGTCCTCCTCCTCACTGCCTCCACTACTCCCTGTTCTTTCCTCGTCAGACTGGGCACCAGCCTAGTGAGGAAGGGGCCTCCAATGCACAACCTCTGAGGATGCTTGCCATAGATGCAGGCAAAACGTCAGGAGAGAATGCCTCTAGAACTTGGCCATATAGCCCGAAAAAACCTACAACAACCCAAATCTATCGGTAATTTACAACTTTGGGACAATATCAGGAAATGTATTGCTATATAAGAGACCTTATTACAATCCAAAAATTGTGGCAGACCAGAGGAGTGTGGCACACCCGCCGCTTTTCTCCATTGGAAAGAGAGAGATGGTGTACTTTGGAGAGTGTTAGATCTGCAATAGAATGCAGTCTGGTCACTTGCCTCCTTTTCTCAAGGGAAGAGAAAAGGAGTGCCATTTTGGAGTCATTTCACGTTGCATAGAGTCAGTTTCTGCTGTAGTGAAAACGCAGAACTGATCCTTGGCATTGTTCTTAGGAAAAGAAGGAAAGAAAAGGGACGGAGAAGTTGTATGAGGAAAATAGAGAAATGGAAAGAAAGAGCCATAACGACCTCACTACCTCTAAGGATGCTTGCCATAGATGTAGGCAAAACGTCAGGAGAGAATGCCTCTAGAACAGTGGTTCTCAACCTTTCTAATTCCGTGACCCCTAAATACAGTTCCTCATGTTGTGGTGATCCCCAACCATAAATTTATTTTCGTTGCTACTTTATAACTGTAATTTTGCTACTGTTATGAATCGTAATGTAAATGTATTTTCATTGTTACAAATTGAACATAATTAAAGCATAGTGATTATTCACAAAAACAATATGTTTTGGGGAGGTTGGACAATGGATTATGGGATCTGCAGTACCTTCAAACGATTCAGCTCTGACTTCCACAGACCTGGGTCGCCCGGCTCGGGGGGCGTGAGCCGGGTATCCCAGGCTCCGAGGGAGGGCCTGGGCCCTGTGGGGAGCCATTTTGAGGAGGGGGCAGGGCCAAAGGAGGTGGCCTCATGACCTCTCAGAAATGGCCAAGCGACCCCCCTGGTGGTTGCGACCCCCAGGTTGAGAGCTACTGCTCTAGAACATGGCCATGTAGCCCGAAAAAACCTACAACAACCCAGAGCCATAAAGTATTGCACTGTTGTCAAAGCATTGCAATGGTGACAATGTGAGGTTGGCCCTCTTAGAGCTGGAGAAGGGAGAAAGTAGGCAGCAACCCCAATGACACCCGGGAATGCTGAGTATAATCTATATAAATAAAAATGTAATGTTCGTTTGTGGTATTCACAGAACTCAAGAACTGCTGGGAAAATTGACACCAAATTTGGACACAAGACACCTAACAACCCAATGTATGTCCTTCACTCAAAACATTTATTTTGTCATTTGGGAGTTGTAGTTCCTGGGATTTATAGTTCACCTACAATCATTCTGAACCCCACCAATGATGGAGTTGAACCAAACTTGGCACAGTTCTCCCATGACCAACATAAAATACTGGAAGGGTTTGGTGGGCAGTGTCCTTTGGTTTTGGAGTTGTAGTTTGAGTGCATTGTTTATGCACTCAAACAATGATGGATCTGGACCAGACTCTACACAAATACTCAATATGCCCAAATGTGAACACTGGTGGAGTTTGGGGAAAGTAGACCTTGACATTTGGGAGCTGTAGTTGCTGGGATTTATAGTTCACCTACAATCAAAGAGCATCCTGAACCCCACCAATGATGGAATTGAACCAAACTTGGCACACAGTTCTCCCATGACCAACAAAAAATACTGGATGGGTTTGGTGGGCAGTGTCCTTTGGTTTTGGAGTTGTAGTTTGAGTGCATTGTTTGTGCACTCAAACAATGATGGATCTGGACCAAACTCAATATGCCCAAATGTGAACACTGGTGGAGCTTGGGGAAAATTGAATCTTGACATTTGGGAGTTACAGTTGCTGGGATTTATAGTTCATCTACAATCACAGAGCATTCTGAACCCCACCAGTGACAGAATTGGGCCAGACCTCCCACACAGAACCCCCATGTGGGCCACAGCAACACGTGGCAGGGGGCGGCTAGTATAGTATAAAATGCAATTTACCTTGCAATAACATGGTGATTCCGGATCCACGTCCACCGTGGCTAAATAGTCAGGTTGCCGGGACTCGGTTCCGGTTAAAATGCACGGTACGTATATCAGTTTTTCTCTGGGTCCTGCGGAAACAAAGCCTAGTGTTAGGATCTTAAAGACGGGAAAGCATGGGATGCATGAAGCATTGTCCCCACAAGTCGCCTTTGGAGACCTAGGTTAGCATTTCAGTTGCATCCTCGGGGTTCTTGAGCTTTGTTGTTTTGATGGTCTGGGAGGGAACTCTGTATTCCCCAACTCTCCTGATTTTGTGGGACATGAGGAGGTGAAACCTAATTTTGGGTGGAAAGTGTCGTCCGCACTACTTACCTCTCATGGCGTCCAACGGCGAAGCGTAACCGGGTCCATGGCATGAGCCACACTGCCCTATACAATTGGAAAGAGGGAGAGATCGAGATCTTTACTGATTCTTGAATAATCTAGAACCGTGGTTCTCAACCTTCCTAATGCTGCAACCCCTTAATACAGTTCCTCGCGTGGTGGTGACCCCCAACCAGAACATTATTTTCACACTGCCCTATACAATTGGAAAGAGGGAGAGATCGAGATCTTTACTGATTCTTGAATAATCTAGAACCGTGGTTCTCAACCTTCCTAATGCTGCAACCCCTTAATACAGTTCCTCATGTGGTGGTGACCCCCAACCAGAACATTATTTTCGTTGCTACTTCACAACTATCATTTCACTTCTGTTATGAATGGTAGTGTAAATATCTGATATGCAGGATGTATTTTCATTCGGCACAAATACCCGATACGCCCAAATTTGAATACTGGTGGGGTTGGGAGGGATTGATTTTGTCATTTGGGATTTATAGTTCACCTACAATCAAAGCGCATTCTGAACTACACCAACAATGAAAATGAACCAAACTTAGCACACAGAACTCCCACAACCAACAGAAAATACTGGAAGAATTTGGTGGGAATTGACCTTGAGTTTGGGAGTTGTAGTTCACGTATATCCAGAGAGCACTGTGGACTCAAACAATGATGGCTGTGGACCAAACTTTGCATGGATACTCAATATGGCCAAATGTGACCACTGATGGAATTTGGGGAAAATAGACCTTGACATTTGGGAGTTGTAGTTGCTGGGATTTATAGTTCACCTACAATCAAAGCGCATTCTGAACACCACCAACAATGATAGAATTGAACCAAACTTAGCACACAGAACTCCCACGACCAAGAGAAAATACTGGAAGGATTTGGTGGGCATTGACCTTGAGTTTGGGAGTTGTAGTTGCTGGGGTTTATAGTTCACCTACAATCAACGTGTGTTCCGAACTCCACCAACAATGATAGAATTGAACCAGACTTGGCACACAGAACTCCAACGACCAAGAGAAAATACTGGAAGGATTTGGTGGGAATTGAACTTGAGTTTGGGAGTTGTAGTTCACTGACATCCAGAGAGCACTGTGGACTCAAACAATGATGGCTGCAGACCAAACTTGGCACAAATACTCAATATGCCCAAATGTGACCACTGGAGAAAATAGACCTTGACATTTTGGGAGTTGTAGTTGCTGGGATTTATAGTTCACCTAGAATCAAAGAGCACTCTGAACACCAGCAATGGAATTGAACCAAACTTGGTGTACTACCCACATGGCTAACATTGAATATTGGTGGGGTTGGGGGTGGGCTATTTTAGAATTCTGGGAGTTGTAGTTCACCAACACCAAAAAGGAAGAGAAAGACAGGCAGAGGGATCTTAGCCTTCTTCTGACAAATAAGTTCCTAAGACCATCAGAAATATGTGTTTTCTGAGGGTCTTTGGTGATCTCCAGTGTAGATGTGCCAGGATGTGGATGAGGCATTTGCTTCATGCTTCTGTTTTCTACCCTTTGAAAGATTCCTGTCTCAGTCCATCCTTATGACTCACTCGCCTCCTTGATCCGGCATTTTTCATTCCAAATATATGAATGGATGGGGAAGCTATCCATGGATCAAATCTGACCCAGTTGGATGGCATTTATGATCCATTTCCAATTACACAGCAAACAAACAATATCTGATAGTGGCCTCCATTGGCGAGATAATCTCTTCCTCCCATCCAGTTCCACCCAAAAGCCATTAATAATAATGATGGTGATAATAATAATAGGATACTGCACTTTTCTCTCTTAAACCACACTCCCCAAATAACAAAACCAATCTTCCCAATTCCTCCTTTTCATTCCCACTCTCTCTGCTCCTTTTACAAAGTCCCGCTTTCTCTCTTGCTTCCCCCCTTCGTCCTCAGCATGTTTCCATTGCTGCAAATGGACCTCAAAATACTTTCAGTTTTTATTCAGAGTACTAGCTTGGGTACGCAATGTTGCCTGGGTTATTGCATAAGGTTGTGGGTGTACTACAACTCACATCATGCCAGGTTAACCCCCGAAACTCTGGTACCCAAACTGTAATCTATACCAATGATCCAGTGTATTAAGTAATAGGTAAATGAAGATGTTTTGGCAATCTGGAACCAAACCCCGGCGTATACGTAATACCTGTATTAAGTGGTATTAACCATATATGAAAATTGTAAACAATCTAAAAACAAAGATAGAAAGCAAAGCAGAACCTGGGATTGGTTCCAGATGTAGACATCATCTTGAGTTTGAGGATGCAATAAAGTCAGGGTTGAAGACCTAAATCGGAATACATGTCCCAAATGGAGACAACCAGGCATCTTACCTTTATTCGGGGTCTTCTGGACTACCTTTTCTTCATCCAACACTTTGGTCTGGTGCTTAGACATCTCCTTTGCAACCTCAATACGTCTGACAAGGAAAGGTGCCTCTCCGCTCCCTAAAGAAGCCTATATAAATGCCGAGGATATCTCTCCATCTCCTTATATATCACTAATCCAGACGGCTGGAGGAGGGAGGTGTGTTCGCTGGAATAAACTCATTAAGGAAAGAGCTGACTCTGGGGAAAAAAAACAGAGCAGAGTTTCAGACGGGGCCTTTCTCATCGTGGTCCCACCTCTCCCCATTCAATTAATTTCAGACAGACAACGCTCATATACTTTCCCCTTCTGTTTCTTTTTCTCCCCTTGTTTCTTCTGAAAAGATAGAAAAGCTTTTTGAAAACACTTCTTTTGGGTGTTTCATAGGGTTTGACTATACTTAGGTGATCTCTCGCCTCGTCTTCTAAGTGTCGTATCTTGGCGGTGGTTATGTAAGTGACTGTGGAGTATGTTCTTCCACAGTGAGGACAATGGTTTCCATGTGGGAAGCGAACCCAGTCAGGGTTGGCTTGATGCACCTTCTTCCTCTTGGCATGTTTCGCCCTCCATTCGTGCCTCCTCGAATTCCGCAGCAGTGATGGTCACAGCTGACCTCCAGTGAGAGTACTCAATGTCTAGGGCTTCCCAGTTCTCTCTTGGTGTCTCTGCCACAATTTTTAAGGTTGGCTTTAAGCCCATCTTTCAATCTCTTTTCCTGTATGCCAACATTATGTTTCCCATTCTTGAGTTGGGATTAGAGTAACTGCTTTGGGAGATGGTGATCGGGCATTCGGACAACGTGGCCTTCGGTCCAGTGGAGTTGATGGTGGACAAGCATCGCTTCAGTGCTGGTGGTCTTTGCTTCTTCCAACATGCTGACATTGTCTACCTTACCAAGAGATTTGCAGGAGGCAGTGCTGATGGAATCATTCCAGGAGTTGCGTGTGACATCTATAGACAGTCCACATTTCACAGGCGTATAGCAGGATTGGGAGGACAATAGCTTTATAGACAAGCACCTTGGTATTCCTATGGATGTCCCTGTCCTCAAACACTCTCTGCTTCATTCGTAAAAATGCTGCACTCGCAGAGCTCAGGCGGTGTTGTATTTCAGTGTCAATGTTGACGTCTGTAGACAGTCCATGTCTCACAAGGTGTATAGCAGGGTTGGGAGGACAATCGCTTTATAAACAAGCACCTTGGTATCCCTACGGATGTCCTGGTCCTCAAACACTCTCTACTTCATTCGAAAAAATGCTGCACTCGCAGAGCTCATGCGGTGTTGTATTTCAGTGTCAATGTTGACGTCTGTAGACAGTCCACGTTTTGCAGGCGTATAGCAGGGTTGGGAGGACAATAGTTTTATAAACAAGCACCGTGGTATTCCTACGGATGTCCTGGTCCTCAAACACTCTCCGCTTCATTCAGAAGAGTGCTGCACTTGCAGAGCTCAGTCGGTGTTGTACTTCAATGTGAATGTTAACTTTTGAGAGAAGGCTGTCAAGGGAGTGGAAATGGTCAACATTTTCTAATGTTACACCATTAAACTGTATTTCTGGCGTTGGAGAAGGATTGCCTGGTGTCTGCTGAAAGAGCACTTTGGTTTTCTTGATGTTCAATGAGAGCTTCTCGTATGCTTCTGCAAAGATGTTTGGAGTGGCTTGTAGATCTTCTGAATGTGCACAGACTACATTATCATCGGCATATTGGAGTTCCATAACAGATCTTGTTGTGACCTTGTTTTGGCTTTCAGTCTCCTGAGGTTAAATAGCTTGCCATCTGTCAATGTTTAATGAGAGGCTGAGCTTCTTGTATGTTTCTACGAAGGTGTTTAGAGTGGCTTGTAGGTCTTCTTCTGAATGCATACAGACTACATTATCATCGGCATATTGGAGTTCCATAACAGATGATGTGACCTTGGTTTTGGCTTTCAGCCTGCTGAGGTTCAATAGCTTGCTATCTGTCAATGTTTAATGAGAGGCTGAGCTTCTCGTATGTTTCTGCAAAGGTGTTTAGAGTGGCCTGTAGGTTTTCTTCTGAATGCGCACAGACTACATTATCATTGGCATATTGGAGTTCCATAACAAATGATGTTACCTTGGTTTTGGTTTTCAACCTGCTGAGGTTCAATAGCTTGTCATCTGTCTGATAGATGATTTCCACTCCGGTGGGAAGCTTCCCATCAACAAGATGAAGTATCATAGTGATTAAGATGTAAAGTTAGGTTGGGGTTCTGAATGTGGGCAGACTACATTATCATCGGCATATTGGAGTTCCATAACAGATGTTGTGACCTTGGTTTTGGCGTTCAGTCTCCTGAGGTTAAATAGCTTGCCATCTATCAATGTTTAATGAGAGGCCGAGATTCTCGTGTGCTTCTGCTAAGGTGTTTAGAGTGCCTTGGAGGTCTTTTTCTGAATGTGCACAGACTATGTTATCATCGGCATATTGGAGTTCCGTAACAGATATTGTTGTGATTATACTTTGCATTATATTGATCCAAAGTGGGGAGATTGGGGCCTATGAGGCCCCCGAGTTTTGTAGACACCTCATTTTGCCTCATTTCATAAACCGCAAATTGGCAAGTACATCCTTTGCCGTCCCACTTTCCCAGCTGCTTTGAAAACATCCCGGTTTCTTTTCCTTTCTCCCGCTTTCCTCCTCAGTTCCTGCAAATAGTGTCCCGAGTCCTGAAGTAGTTTGCCCCCATTGGACCCCACAAAGGAGAGAAAGAAAAGAGGATGCACCTATACTCTGGCAGGAAGGTAAGGGCGCTCCATGCAGTTATGCAGGCCACATGACCTTTGAGGTGTCTATGGACAATGCCAGCTCTTTGGCTTAGAAATGTAGATGAGCCCCAGAGTCAGACACAACTGGACTTAACGTCAGGGGAAAACCTTTACCTTGTGGTTCCCAAAAGATGCCACTTCTCACATCATGCCGAGATCACTCACAAAAACTTAGCTATGCCCTGGAACCCTACTCGTAATCATATATACGTGTCTGTTTCCCTAGAGACATGTTTGCTTTCATCTTGCGAGCTGCCTGACATCCTCTGGGGCAGCAGAACCAGCTCCAAGCTGCTTGCATTGCAAAAAAACCCCAAACCTAATTGGCATTTGGAAAAGTAAACGGCAATATTCATGCCGTTTTGGGGTTTAGTTTGAACTTTGAAGCAATGATCTAAGACTCTGAAAAATGAAATGCAAAGATACAGAATGGGCGACGATGCGTGGCTCAAGAGCCATACTTGGAGTCCTTGTAGACAACAAATTAAGCATGAGCCTACAATATGATGCTGCAGCTAAAAATGCCAGTGGGATTTTGGCCTCTATAGTGTCTAGAAGGAAGTGAAGGACTGCATCAATAGGAGCATAGTGTCTAGATCCAGGGAAGTCATGCTCCCCATGCTCTATTCTGCCTTGGTTAGACCACACCTGGAATATTGTGTCCCATTCTGGACACCACCATTGAAGAGAAATATTGACAAGCTGGAAAGTGTCCAGAGAAAGGCGACTCAAGTGATCAAGGGTCTGGAGAACAAGCCCTATGAGGAGTGGCTTAAAGAGCTGGGCATGTTTTATCCTGAAGAAGAGAAGGCTGAGAGGAGACATAATAGCCATGTATAAGTATGTGAGCAGAAGTCATAAGGAGGAGGGAGCAAGCTTGTTTTCTGCTGCCCTGGAGACTAGGACGCAAGGGAACCATGGCTTCAAAGTACAAGAAAGGAGATTCCAGCTGAACGTTAGGAAGAACTTCCTGACTTGAGAGCTGTTCAGCAGTGGAACTCTCTGCCCCAGAGTGTGGTGGAGGCTCCTTCTTTGGTGGCTTTTAAATAGAGGCTGGATGGCCATCTGTCGGGGGTGCTTTGAATGCAATTTTCCTGATTCTTGGCAGAATGGGTTGGACTGGATGGCCCATGAGGTCTCTTCCAACTCTAGGATTCTATGATTCATGGTCCAGCTCTCACATCCATAGGTTACTACAGGGAATACCATTGCTTTAACTATGCGGATCAGGTGATCTTTAGGAGATCCAAAATATGTCTTTACTTGATCCACTTGTTTCTCTTCGAAAACCAGACGTGAACACATCATCTGTAGCTTGATGATTCTTCCTCTGTGCATGAGACAGGGCATTGTGGACAAGCATACAGATGCATAGTTGTTTGTTCTGCTCCACAGTCACACAAGGTGGAGGATTCTTTAGGTCGTGCCATTTGGCCAGGTTGTCTTTTGATCTGCCCACTCCGCTTCTGAGTCTGTTCAGGGACTTCCACGTTGCCCATTCTTGGTTTGCCCCTGGAGGAAGACCCCCATGGGATGGGTCATCCAGTTGGAATTTCCACTCCACAGTGGAAATCATCTATCGGACAGATGGCAAGCTATTTAACCTCAGCAGACTGAGAGCCAAAAGCAAAGTTACACAACATCAATTATAGAACTCCAGTATGCTGATGACAACGTCATCTGTGCACATTCAGAAGAAGGCCAACAAGCTACTCTAAACACCTTTGCAGAAGCATACACGAAGCTCAGCCTCTCATTGAACATCGAGAAAACCAAAGTGCTCTTCCAGCAAAAGTCACCAGCCAATCCTTCTTCAATGCCAGAAATATGTTGACCATTTCTGCTCCCTTGGCAGCCACCTCTCCACAAAAGTCAACAATGACACTGAAATACAACACCGCCTGAGCTCTGCGAGTGCAGCATTCTTCCGAATGAAGCAGAGAATGTTTGAGGACCAGGACATCCATAGGGATACCAAGGTGCTTGTTTATAAAACTATTGTCCTCCCAACCCTGGTATACGCCTGCAAGACGTGGACTGTCTACAGATGTCAACATTGACACTGAAATATAACACCGCCTGAGCTCTGCGAGTGCAGCATTTTTCCGAATGAAGCAGAGAGTGTTTGAGGACCGGGACATCCGTAGGGATACCAAGGTGCTTCTTTGTAAAGCTATTGTCCTCCCAACCCTGCTATACACCTACAAGACGTGGACTGTCTACAGACGTCACATGCAACTCCTGGAATGATTCCATCAGCGCTGCCTCCGAAAAATCCTGCAAATCTCTTGGGAAGACAAGCGGACAAACATCAGCGTG